AGAAAACCCACATAGACACGAGGAGGACATGCATGCACACTCCACACAGAAGGGCTGAAGCCAAAATTGAACCTCGCACCTCTGCACTGTAAAGCCGATGTGCTAACCAGTCGATCACCGCCTTAATATCATTATCTTACAATTTACTTGGACTATGGGTCAATTGTAACAGTTCACTCCTTGGAGTTGAGATTAAGTAATGCATTTTCTGTTTGTGATGCATGGGCATTTTCCATGTCATTTAATACCAAACACTTACATCTAGTTTGGTCGCAGTTTTGAACACCCTTTGTCAAAAGAGCTCAAAATTAGAGAAACAAATGTTAAAAATGTTACCTTTTGTCCCAGACCTCCCGGCTGTTTTACTTTTACTTAAATAAAGGCAATGGATCATCACTTCTTCTTGTATCATATTCAGTGTATTGCTTTGCACAATCTGTACTTATATTTAATGAGAACAGAGTGTGCGTTATTTTGCCACCTCTGCGCTTCAGTGAGCCGTCCAGTCTAGCAGCAAATTGGATCTCACCTTCGGCCCCGTGGGAGTGCTTTTCCCCGCCCCTTTACCCCGTGTCCGATGGCGTCACAACGTTCACCGCCGTCCGCCTTTTATTTATCCCGCTTTGAGGTCTGGAAGTGAAACTCGGCATAACTGTTTCAAAAAAACGACCCAAACAGCATCTCGTACGCCTATTCGTCCCGCACACCAGGAGGATATGGCGTCACCGTCGTCTTCCCTCTCCGTGTCGTGCAGGTAGGAGACGTGAGTTGCGTAAATTGTAAAGTGCACTTTAGTCATCCAATCAATTGATCACCTCAACTACCAATAACTGATTGCATTTACAACACATGATGCAAATCGTGAGCTTTTAACGATCGTGCTATTTTTATGCACGGCTGACATTTTTCGCCAAGGCAACAATTCCGGAACAACGAGGGCACCGACCTCGTCCCAACAGGCACTACGACAAAGCCGAATTATTCGCAAATTATGTCGTTTCATGAAGTGAAACAGGTTAATCTTGACTTTCCACGAATATCTTCATATATTGGCCGAGCCGTGCCTCAGAGGCTGCTCTGTGAAAGCCGGGATCACTGGTAGCACCACGGAGAGTTCCAGGCCCGCCCCCAGATCTGACGTCAACAGACTGTTGTTTGTTTTAAACTATGAAACACCCGCAGCAGTGTTTCCCTGTTTCTACAGTGGAAAATGGATGAAAGTGGATGTACGAAAATCATTATATAATATTTAAACAACAATGATACAATTAATGTCTTTTTCCAATCTGGGTTGGAGGTTTGCTTTGATTTAAGATTGAGTGCCATTTCAATTGAACACAGTGAAAATCATGAATGAAAAGAATTCTACTCTGATGGCATCATTTCTGTTGTGTCATTTTTTTTCCTCTGGATAACCCTGTGTGAAGTCAGGGCTTGTTTAATTCAACACAAAGCTGATATACCTGCAGGTATTGAAACACGTGTGCGCACACACACACACACACACACACACACACACACACACACACACACACACACACACACACACACACACACACACACACACACACGTCAGGGAATATCATTCCTGGAGCAGCTTGATGAAATTTGATAATTTGACAGAAATAAATCACCAGTGTGGTTCATCATCATGAATCGTTATGTATAATGTGTGTTGATGTCTTGGAAATAACTAACTTTTGTTTCGTCTCCTATATGGGTAATGAGCCAAAAAGTTAGGGTAACCTTGGCCTACAAAATATTTTCTTGTCCTCTGAGAAAACAGTGCAGAAGAAGAATCTTGCATTTCAAGTGCTTTTCTTGTTTTTGGTTACTCGCATTGGCTCACCTTGTTTGACTGTGTAACTGCTGATGAATAATTTCTAGAGCAAACTAGCAAAGCATCTCATGTCTAGGTGGCTCAAGGTTAATAATCTCTGTTTGATGAACGATTGACCCGCTGGCAAATTGAACACTACAAGAGAAATTGCACACATGTAAGGCCACACTGATGATGCAGTTTAGAATTCACAGCAAATGATGAGCATAGCTACTTACATTAGTTCCTGGAGTTTATGAATCACCGGAAGGAAATACTGGCATTTAAAATGAATGCAGCTGCAGTCATTCGGTGTAGAGTGTGTCCAATGCTGCCATTAACACCTCGGTTAAATGTGAAGGGCAACTTTTGCAAACGACGGCCTCTTAAATCACTCCTATGTGTCGCAAAAGATACTTAAAATGAAATGGAAAATGTCTTCAAATCATCAAACTGTCTTTCTCAGGCAATGCAAAGGCCCTCTTGGAAACACTGTTGAAACAGAGGGTCCAAGGTCATCCCGACTTGGTCATTGCACCATCATTCTTACAGTTTTCTTTGGTCGGTTGTGATTGTCAATGTGTATCGTTGTTCGTCCATGTGCGATTGGCTACCAGCCAGTTCAAGGTGTGCCCCATCTCTTGCCCGAAGACAGCTGGGATAGGCTCCAGCACGCCTGCGACCCTCGTGAGGAAAAGCGGATTCGAAAATGAATGGATGGATAGATATTGAGAATGTGGGTGTAAGATGACACAGGATCACTAGAGGTTGACGTGACATCCGATGCTAAGTTTTGAGATGATACTGGGCCTCAAACAATATGTCCTTTGATATTAATCAGTCTGATTTCCTTTGACTTTCAGATCCAGTTATGATGACTGCAAAGAGACGGCCGACTGGCTGCTGGCCCAGACCAAGCAGAGGCCCAGAGTGGCCATCATTTGTGGGTCAGGCCTGGGTGCTCTGGCTGACTTAATTGAAGACAAAATTGTTTTCCCTTATAAGGAAATCCCGGGTTTCCCAACTAGCACGGGTACCGTTTGTGTTCTTTTCATTGTACATTTTTGCAGAAATGTGCCAGAGGAAAATCAAGTGGGTGTTTGTTTGTGCACTGTTTAGTGGCAGGCCATGCTGGTCAACTGGTTTTCGGGAAACTGCAGGGCCGGGAGTGTGTCTGCATGCAGGGTCGATTCCACTTCTACGAAGGTTACAGCCTGCACACTGTAAGAACATTCATTTTACAAACTGCTGTGTTTGGTTGGGGTTTCACCAGCACGCATTCACTTCAAATTTGCTGTGTGTGCTGAATGATCAGCTGCACTTAGGTGGATGGTTCACATCTGTGTCAGCATTGGATTGACCTTTGTCATATTGTCAAGATTGTATTACAGTTTTGTCTTTATACGAGCTATAATGTGACTTTCCGCATAAAGTCAATGATATCATAAAACCCAGTTTTATATATACAGTAAACGGAGGTAAAATTTACGATGATTACTTGTTGTATGCAGTTAGGACTTTAGACAGATTTTGCTCTTTGTCCCATTCTTTGTGACATGGGTAATCGTACATAGCCAACTAAGCATGTTATAATGAGAAACCATTAGCAAGAATACATGATGAATATTTAACATCCAGTCGAGGGTTTTCCATCCACAAACGATTAATGAGGGGTGAAAGCAGTTGTGCATGAGTTCTGGCTTAACATTGACACACATTGATAATTGACATTAGTGAAGATTTATCCTGATCTAAACCAAACTGTTGAGTTTTTGTTGACCCATGCACTATAGCTGTACATAATTATGTGTAAATCAGTTACAAAGTTTCAATCCCGCATCAATACACATAAGACAGAAACATAAACCTCGTAGGCGGAAATAACGATCCCCTTCGGTGTTACACAATGACGACAATATTGGAACTGGGGATTCCTCATTGTCCTTGAATATACTTTTAAAAAGATAAATATTAATTGTAGCCCTCAGTGTTCCCACGCACATCCATTTGTACAAGCCCCATGACTCATCATCGTATGACATTGATCAAAGAATACAATGTAATTGAAAATACTGAATATATTGTAAGTAAAATAATACCTGAATTTATCATGCACAATATTTGTGGCTGTAGGTGACGTACCCCGTGCGAGTCTTCTTCCTGCTGGGTGTGGAAACTCTGATTGTTACGAATGCAGCAGGTGGACTCAATGGCAACTACAAAGTGGGGGATATTATGGTCATTAAGGATCATATCAACTTGCCGGGGTTTGGTGGAGAGAGCCCACTGGTTGGACGCAATGATGACAGGTAAGGCACGGTATCCAATGCAAGATGCAGTTTGTCATATTTTTAAGGCCTGCCCAACAGAGAGTGATGTGACCAAATGCAACTGTCTCACCGTGCGCAGGTTTCAGTCAATAGTTTCCATGAGTGACTGATAGTGGGCAACTGGTTTTGCTGCATTTCGGAATTTGATTTGCAGGTGAAGAACATTTCAAGGTTGCAGATGTAACACAGCCAATCAAATTCAAGTTCAAGTTCAAGTCAACTTTATTGTCAAATGTGCTCTATGTGCAACATACAGCACAGATGAAATTTCTTTCAATTTCAAATTTTATCTGTGCTGTATGTTGCACATAGAGCACATTTGACAATGAAGTTGACTTGAATTTGAACTTGAACTTGAAATTGAAATTTCTTTCCTCTCAACCACAAGAGAGAGAGGAGCTGCTGTGGGTGCCCGCAGAACAGTTAACATAAAATGACAAAATAATACAACACAAAATATAAGACACAGACAGTCGTGCAATAGTAACCACTTTTTCTGCATACACTTTGTTGTTTGAAGCAATTATGGATAAAAGAGGAGAGAATCAAAGTGTCCTTTCACCAGTGGATCAAAGACGTCATGCTGAAAATGTGCACACGTCTGCGACAAGCGAAGTTTGAAAGCAAACAAGAAGCTCTAACGTCCGTTGACGAAAAAGAGATTGGCTCACATCTCTTGTCAATCAACAAAGCCATGTTGTATCATATGAAATTTCACAGCAAAAAGTAGTTTCTGTGTACCAAGCAAGATCCAGCCAGATGCCGCCAAGTTGTACCACTACAGTACATATCGTGAATACGGTCAATATTGTGTTTCATCTGTACATGTGGCTAAAAATCAAGGTGTGGAGAGTCGTTGTCAGCGAAATGCACAAATTCAGTCGATGAATGGGGCAATGGTTGCCAGTAGCCTCTGAAATATCCACACACTCTTAGTTGTACTCGCTAGTTTCCTCTTTTTGTCATGATTCGGTTCTGTTTGTGAGCAAAAGGTGGCACTGGAGGGCTTCTCCTCCATCGTCGCACCTGTTGGTCATCATGTCATTCGCTCTTTTCTGTTCAAAGGACTGCAATGCCGACCACTCTTGATCAGGTTGTTGTGCTACTGTCATGGGTTTTTTCTTTGTTTGTTACTTGGGTTCTTGGAGTTTTCAGGACTTTGTTTGTGTTATTGAGTTAGTTTTTTCTAGTATGTCCCTCTAAGTTTTTTTGTTCATATATTTTGTTCAGTACACCCCGCTTCTCCTGCATCCCTGCTGTTTTGGTCATCTTGCATCGCACTGTATAACACTTTTCAAATGTATAATTTATCATTAAAATTATGACATAGCTGTAGAAAATTACGAAACCTGCCGCTTCCTTGAAATTCGTGCCATTATGTTTTTGGTTCAATAACCTCATAATTTGTGACACCTCAAAATGTTTCCTGATCAAGAACACCAGGGATAGGAGTTTTTCTGTTTCAGGTAGACCAAATAAAAGAGTGCAGTTTCCTTTTTACTTTGGAATGAGTGCTTCCCTCATTTTATCTTATCTTATCTTATTTTATATATAGCCGCTCTCTGTGTATAAATACAGTATAACTATTACTACGCAAGTGACATTTACTTAAAAACTGTCTGTAAAATTTTCTGAGAATTTCTGAGTGCAAAAAATCGTTTTTTTTTTTTTTTTCCCAAATTACCGGTAATATAATTTTCTTTAAAGTTTGTTTCTGTGTAAAATTTACTCTGAATATTTTACTCTCCAATTTTACTCTGTTTGGTCTTTTTTGATCGTAAATTGTACACGATGAAATTTAATGTGTATCCTCTCATCCATATGCCTCATCCTCAGGTTCGGAGTGCGCTTCCCTTGCATGTCAGATGCCTATGACCGGAACCTGAGGGCTTTGGCCATTCAGACAGCACATGAGCAGAAATGTGGCAACTTCCTGCAGGAAGGGGTTTACTGTATGGTGGCTGGACCAAATTATGAGACCATCGCAGAATGCAACGTCCTACATAAATTTGGAGCGGATGCTGTTGGTGAGGACAGGTTCTTCATGCTCTGCTCAAGAAAGAAATGTTACACTTTTCGAAACAAATGCAGGGCTCACTTACACTGCAGTATTTTTTTTCATGCATTCTAAATGAAGTACGATTATTCCTCTCTGTTTGGTAAACAGAGAATGAGGATTTAGCTGCCATCTGGTGTTCCTTAAAATAATTTAGGTCACATAACTGCATACGGTGAATGGTTTTGTACAGAGAAAATACATTCTACAAGACAGCAAATTATACTTGTAAAATGTGAACATGTGGTCACCCTAATATCTGGGGGAGGATATCTTCTGAGACACCATCTTCTTAACATTCCCATTAACAATATGCATGGACGGAACCACATTGATGAAAACAATCTCTGTGGTGGAGGCCAAAATTTGAAATGAATCCCTCTTGTTGTATGACCTTATGGCCTTCTGTTTCATGATTGTCATACTGTTGTGACATGCTGCATAGAGTAACAGATAAAAATTCAAACCCCACCACAGCACAGTACAGTTCCAACCTTTTTGACCAGTGTAGAGAACACACTAGAGACCTGGAAATTACAATGGACATTTCAACAACAACACCCAAATTTAAGAGAACAATAATAGAAGGTTAAATCACTTGTAGTAAAAGCTGTCTTTCAATCTGCCTCTTTACTTCTGTCTTTCAGGTATGAGCACAGTCCCAGAGGTAATGGTGGCACGTCATTGTGGCTTGCGTGTCTTGGGTCTCTCGCTGATCACCAACAAGGCCGTAACAGATTATGACAGTCATGAGAAAGTAAACCATGAGCAGGTGCTCATGACCACCAGCCTTCGAGCACAAGAACTCCAGAGGCTTGTCAGACATCTTGTCACGAAGCTCTAGCACCTTCAGTTCCAATCTGCTGGAAACAAAAAGGGTATCCGTCCTTCAACGATAGGGTTGAGATAACCATAGACATCCGAGTTGTTCAATAAGAGGGGAAATCATCCATCTTGATTTCAGGTAGTGATAAGCTAGGACATAGAATAAGGAGACCATACCCTATAACAACGCAATATTTGGGCAGCAGCTCGTCAATAGTGTGTGCAAGGGCGGTGCACTGGCACCCAGCTGAGTCACATTGAAAGGGACAAAAATAAAATAATGAAAATTAAAAGGAAAAATTCTGAAAAAAATACCTTAAAATATTGTGTATGTATGTTGAGCTAGATAAATAGCATGAAGTCATTGATGTGTAAAATTGGTTTATTTATCGCAGGCGTTTCAAACAATGACATATATTCAATTTAGGCACTCATATTGTCAATCAGATAAACTCAAAAGTGTGACATGCGCCGAAAGGTCCTTGTGCAGTCCACACAGTTTGGGCACCGTTGGCCACTGAAATCTACCGCCCCCAAACAATCACATTTAAACGGAGCTACTGTTGGAACACTACCCTAAAAGTCGACTTCATCTCCTGTTTGGCCGTGAAGTGCTCCAATTTTGACTGGAACTTGCCACATCCAGTATGACGGCTATCTGTACTTCAAGGCTGGCATGTCAATGGGGTATCCAGGCCACAACAGAGTAAATTATCTTGTCCCCCCCCGCCCTCACCCACACAGCCATCTTCCCGCACAGTTTCAGCATGTCACAGGTGCATGCTTCCTCTGTCCTGTTAAAAAAAAAAAAAAAAAAAAAAACAAAGTTGTTAGGCTTTGTGGGAAAAAAGCACAGGACCCACATGCAGACACAATGAACTGAGAAGAATTTATTAGCTAGGAGTGGGATAGGTCAAGGTGGCAGGAATCGAATGGTAGAACAAAAACGACCAATTCAAGGAGAACAGGGCACAGGGGCGTAACGGCTGGGCAGAAGCGAGTGCAGCAGGAAGGAATCGCTGACGAACTGGCAACGGGTGGCTGTTCAGGCTGGCTTTTATGCTGCAAGCGGCTGATGAGCAGAAGACTCGCAGGTGTGTAAGGGAGGCAGGTGCACCAATTAGCGAGACGCCCAGTCCACACTGAAAAAGGGAATAACAAAAAGGGAGGGGCGAAACCGTGGACAAACAATGCATCCTAACAAATGTAAAACGCTTTTTTTTTCAGTGTACCAATTCGCAGTAAACCAGTGCACACAGTGCAACATTTGGTAATGATCAATACTCTGTCAACAGTCATACAGTTTACCAGGATTAATTTCATCATTGTGAAGCGTGTTTGTTAACAATTATCCCACTGTTCGTCCTTCTATTGGATATACTTGATGAGACAAAAGAACAAATTGAAGCTTTGGTTACAAATGTATCTCATTAAATCACAAGTTTTCAGTTTGCTTTTGATTCATGTCAAACTCATATTTTTGATTCGTAAAAGCTACAAATGAGAGAGGATGTTCAATAAATGAGTTACTAATGGCACAGTGGTCATGCTTCTTTCTTGTGGTGGTTACCGCTGAGTTTCAATTACTGTATATCTTAGCTATGAGGCAAAACAGTTATATTTTTGCATGTTTACCTTTGAAATTGAATTGTTGATGAAATTTTAAGGCAGAATGGTGACCGGGCAGCACATCCGCCTCAAAGTTTAGATGCCGTGGCCTCAAATCAGGTTGTGCGGGTCCTCCAGTTTCCTCCCACATTTCAAAAACATGCCCAAGTCATGACCATGGCAGAGCCTCGTGACAATAAATTGTAAAGAAAATGGATGTATATATAGTATTTATACAGTAGAACCTGGATTTAACAGACACTAAATTAACAGATTACAGATTTAAACAGTGTCCATTCCACTGAAAATTCCACTTTGTTCAGGAGCTGTCAAATTTAAGTCTTGAATGGGCCGTTATTTACTCGCACTGTAGCATCATTAAAACTCTGTTACACCTATTTCCTGGAATTGCCACTTCGTCACAGATGTACAATACAGACTGTATCCGGCGAACGGATGTGCCTGCGTGGCGGCCATGTTGGCAGCAGCAATGTTCCCACAAAAGGCAATGGAAAGTACGAACATTATCTTAGCATCGCCTTAGGCACGCAGCTCAACAGGGCTGAGTCAGTTATTTACTGGGGAGCTGTCCTGTGCACGTCTCTCTAAAGGTCAAGTGTGAAGTAAGTTTGGCCAACCATCTTTTGAGTAATACTTAGTGTTAAAACTATTTCAAGCATACTTTTTTTTAAAAATGCAACTCCCCCAGGTTCATAATTAGCCCCAAAGTAACATACTTGACAATGAACATGCTTTTGTTCGGCAATCTCCAGCGAATGACATCGTTTACAGAATGCCAAGTCGCCAGTTGGCCATTGCATAGCATTGTTGATTGTCCCATTAACTGCTCTTTGCTATTGTATTGTTATCGACTGTTATCGAGAATTCCGTGAAATGCCTTGGCGCTGTGTGGCGATGCAATGTTCACATTCAGGCAAACAGTTGTTTCAGTGGCCGAAAGAAATAAATAGGGCGCATAAATGGCCCAGAAAATGGGTACGATACAGTGTCATTATCGCAAAGTGAATGAATTTCACCCCAGTGTTGAAATGTTCTTGGTTACAAGCACTTAGAAGACCTATGTTTTCGTAACCGGATTTGCAAAAAAAGGTAGATGTGATAATCAATGAATAACTCTGGCTGTTGTTTACGAAAACATTCAATTCAAAGTATTACACGTGTACATGGATGTAATTCTGTATGAAAATATTTCAGACTAAATGAGTGCATGGATGGAATCATCTTTAATGGGCATCAACTAACAATGCTGCCGATATAATGTACAGAGAGGCTGACAATACAACAGAGCTACCATAGCGACGGCAATGTAGGACACCAACCCACTATAGCTCTCAGTGCTCGCAGGAATACATGGACTGAGTAGGTAGTATCATTGTGCGCAGTTTACAGTATGGCATAGCATTGAATTGCAAATAATAACGATAGGCTGATAACCACAGCCTCTATAGCTTACTGTTGTTCCAAACCCAATGGGTCTCGTCTCCAATGCATGTCCAGCCATTCGGGCACAATATTTTCTGCATTCTAAGCATCTGGCTTGTATATGTATTGTCCAACATACATCATTCCAACAACCTCCTCTTCTTCCAACTCTTTTAACACTTGGATCCCCTCAGATAACTTAGAAATGTCGCCTTCCGAATCGATTTCTGACTGGCTTTGTACCCTTTCCATTGTTCAAGTTCAAGTTCAAGTCAACTTTATTGTCAAATGTGCTCTATGTGCAACAAACAGCTCAGATGAAGATTCTTTCCTCTCAACCACAGGAAAGAGAAGAGCCGCGGTGGGTGCCCGCGCCACCATCAACACAACAGTTAACATAAAATGACAAAATAATACAACA